AATGCTAATGATTCTAGGGGCTGTGCTGAACCAATTTTACAGTTTCATCACATTTTTTACTGACTCTCTTAAGGCTCTGAGCATTATTTGTTTGTACTTTAATGGCACCTAATAACTCGTTGTCTGCTGGGTGTATGTGTTCCGGAGCCACATGGTCGGGTTCATTATTGAATTCTTAAGTTTCCAGCTCATTTTTTACGTTCCTCTGACGAAAAACGAATACACTAGAGTTTTTACCGGATTGCCGACACATTTTCTGATGCTATCACGGCAAATGCCGCACTTTAGGCACCAAGATCGGTGCAACCCCGCATTTAAACGCAATGATGGTGTTCTGCGGTATTCTTGATGCTATAGATGTCTTGTAAACATATACTAGTCTCCTAGTCACGTTAGGGCAGTGGCTTGCTGTGCAAGCGCAGCACGCGGCGGTCGCTCGGCCTCGGATCGCTGATTGCATCAGCGATTTAATTTGATCCGTGGCCGAAAAATAAGGCTTGTTCAATTCTCAAGGACGTAGTTCGCATCTGCAGTACAAAATGTAGCCATGATACCCACAAATAAACATCTGAGGCCATATTTCTGACAATAATAAATCTGGTCTCAGAAGTTCGAAGGTTCAGATATTAGAGGTTATTTTGGCACTCTTGATTTGAGCTTCAGTTCGACTATGTGGAACTTTCATTTGTTGAATTCAGGTACAATCTTTGCTCAAGTATTGATTTTCTTTGATTACAAAAGCAGTTTGGAGGGTCAGCTAATAACCTCTATTCTATGCATTTCCTACAACTCAGATTTAATGTACTGTAACAGCCCGTATTAAGATGCCTTAGTGGCTTCAAAACTGGAACTGACAACGTCTGCCAACCAAATAAAGACAAAATTAAAGCTGCTGGTCTTCCATCGATCATTAATCGATCATTGCCGGTGTGAGGGGGACTGTAGCGTCGCTTTGGAAAACGAGGTTCCAAAAGTGACTTGTTCTCCCTCTGGGGGCTTTTTCGTTTAAGTTGGGTTCGTATAGAGTTTGTGAGAGAAGATAGTTGAGCAGCGTTTGTCCGTGGGGATCTGTTGGGGGTCAAAAATGGGGGATAACGTGAAAAATACCTTGTTCAGATGTGCACACCGCGTGCACTACTCCGAGACAATATCCAAGTCTCTGCTTTGTCTCTCTTCTACTGCCTTTCCCCTTTGAACTGGGTGATAGTTGATTCGACTGGCTTTCCCAAAGGTGGGATGACCGCAAATGGCTCGACAAGGGCCTAACGGCTCAACGTGGGTACGGCTCGCGAAGGATGTGAGTGTGCCGGTCATTGTCCAAGGTATCCGCAATTTGGTGTGAGACGCCTTGATTCATTCCTCTCTGCATGAGCAGCGGTTTGCGAGGTCAAGGGGACGGGTTAGTGTGGTTAGACGTTCAGTATGAATCGTCTGGAGGATGTGTGGTCAAGTGTCTTTCGACAAGTTAGTGGGTTAGTGGGGTGGTGTGTGTGTGGTTCAACAGTATATTGGGGGGATTGGTTTACACTAGAGAACTAGTGGGGGAAAAACCGCTCCAAAGTGAACTGTCTATTGCTTTGAGACCCAGATCCTTTTATACTCTGCCAATAACCCCTTTGGACCTTCTCTACATGTCCACAGTCCGCTCCCTCGGCGTTCCATAACGTTCTAGCCCCATGGCGGTGTGTTTGCGCCGTGTTTCATCCCACCGAGTTATGGTGCTCGTCGGAGGAAGTTGCCTTTTAGGGCCCAAAAGTTGTTGGGACGCGATGCCCGACGAACTGCTACCTTCCTAATCCATCCAAAGTCCGTGCGGATACGACGTCCTGAGGCTGAAAAGAGGTGAAACGTGTGCAATATGTCGGCGTGAGCGTGTTGGAAGTGCTGTGCACTCCGGCGGTCGATCCTGTTATGGACAAAGGCACTCCCATCTGCCAGATGTCGTTGGAGGTGCGGCGTCCACGATGTGAGGTGCGAGAACGGCGTCCGAAATGTGTAGATGTGGGGAATGTAGGGCGCGGTGAGCGTGGGTGGTGAATCTGGGTGTTGTGGCCGTGTCGTCGTATTCGCTGGGGCGGACACAGCGCATGTGGCAGCCCCACACCGGTCAGGGCAGTTTTTCGCTATGGAAAAATTAGATCTGTGCTTCAAATAATTTTTTACCTTGGATTTTATTCTATTTAAACTCAAGTACGAGTTCTTGCCGGGCAAAGCCGCAGCCTACAACCCCAAGTACTATTACAATCAAATCGACAGGGGGGGTGACGCATGACTCATTTTTCCAATTCGACAATTCGCCAAATTTTTGCATGATGGGCGAAAAAAATTCAACAAATTTGACAGAAATCGGGCCGAAATTGAGCTTTTTTGCATGGGAACATCAATTTTTGGGGTGACAAACCACCTGGAAAACTCGACAAACCGCCGGGTGACAAGTGACAAACCACCAAAGTTCACCATCGACAGGTACCCGCGTGACACGTGACTGTCAATTATCCGTTCTCTTAACGAAATCTCTTGAATCAGGTACATGTTTGTGAAGCATCCCCATATGTCTATCCCTATGCCTATTCCTCCTCACTGGTGCTTCGTTCGGGACATTTTTGACTCCCACACTCGCACAGCTATGTTGCATTTTTAGCTACGTAACTCGTCACCAGATCGTACCTGCCGACCCTGGCAGCTTTGCAGCAAGCTCCATTATTTGAACACAAGATCTGTGCCATAGTTAAATAGAGTCAGGAGAGCATTTTCCGCAGTGCCGCAGCCGGGCGGCGATGCTGCGGACTTGCTGCGACCACCTATTCTTGCGTGGCTTGCTGCGGTATAAAACGACTGGCCCCGTTCTCATCTGTCCGCCCCGCTCTCTGAGCCAAATTAGTCTGCGGTGCATATCTCCATTCATTCACCTTTTTCTGCTCGTTTGGGGCATTCCTTCTACTGGAATGAATCTAGAAATCAATATCTATCCCCTTCTCTTCTAATTCAACGGGCAGGCTGGCGCCTCATGGCCAACTACGCGCTGCGCTGCCTGCGCATTTCCCACTATGTGCTCCGTTGCACTGCTGTCATATCCTAAATCGGCTGTCTGTGCGCAGAGCCGCTGCGATACGTTTCAAGATCCGGGTCTTCTATACCGCAGCACGTTCATTTATATGCAGCAATTGGTAACCAGGTTTCGCATTCTGCCTCTTGCTTTCCCCCCACATCCTAATCATTTTCCGATGAACGCTTCTCGCTGAATGGCCGCCATGGTTTGTGTGTTTTCGCACCTTTTGGATCCTTCGCTGACCTAATTTACTCAGATGGCACTGGCTGGTCCCGCGCCGCATCCCGGTAGTATTTTCCACAACATCCACTGGTGCATAGTACGCGTTTTTTCATCCAGTCCACCGCTGGTGATGAATCTAGCAGGTCAATGACATCCGGTGACATCAAAATTTGCGCATACATTGTTTGAAAACCATGCTTTGCATATCGCCACCTACATTCTCCCACTTTTCAATATTAGGCTGGAGGCTTCTGCAGGGTAGATAATGTAAATGTGAGTTTTCCTGTTTCGTTTTCCGCCGTCGGCTCAGTCGAACCATCGATAGATGACCTTCCCTGGGGACTGTGAGGCACATTCTATTTCAGCCAGAACCACCTGCCCACCACGGATGTCGCACTAGACTGCACAGCATGGTTTGGAGACATTTCCATTTTTAAAATCTTACCGTACCACTCCAACCACAAGCATATTCTTGCTTCCCAGCGCCTGAATGTTATCCTCTCAGCTCAACATTCTGGAAAACTCATCCAGTATTTAATGCGCTCAATTTATAGCATCTGAAATATGATTTTGTCTTTATACTCTCTTTCATCCTGAAGATTTCGAGCTTCTGCCAACTTATACCACAGTAAAACTCTGTGCTGTGAGAATATCCCCTCTGCAGCAGAGTACCATTGGACTAGGACATTATTACAAGTATTTCAAGAACCGCTTATTTTTGTCCCTCCACGGATCTCAAGTGTGGGAATTACATCAGTAACAAGTTGAGAGCTGCGGGACGCAGTTTGACGGTGCTGTGTTACTGCGAGATCTGCAAGGTAGATCTGCGGTCAAGACCATATGTGGCATTGTTGTGGGGTTTAAGCAGTATTTACATGTCGCCGCTTGCCGCAGCCGTTTTACTCACCCAGTCTGCCGGAGCGGAGCGAAGGCATTTCTTGTTTGATTGTAATAATACAGTAGCCTTTTTCGCCAATGGAATGCGCAAAATAATCATGCTACCTTAGTCAAGTCCCAATTCATACAAACAAGGACCTAATGGTGAAATTGGTATCATGTCCACTACTGCTGAGATGGTTCGGGATGGCTCCGTGGAAGTCCCTCGTTCGAGTCGAGGTTAGGTCATCATCCTTCACACGAGAAGACTGAAATAAACTCACACGTTTATAAGAACAAGACCTAATAGCGAAAATTGTATCGCATCCACTGCATCTTGGCCATATCTTGTCAAAATACCGAAGCCCCTCATTCGAATTAGGTTGTATCGTCCAAGTCTTTTTTTCTTTCTTTTTCATTCAACCTACATACAAAAATCTAAAAACAATCACACACTTAATCAGGGGCCGGTAAAGGGAGGAAGGACCTAATAGCGAAATTGACATCGCATTCATTGCACCTGGCCCGATGTAGTCACCACTATGTGGAAATCCCTTGTTCGAATCAAGGTTCGGTCACGTTGGACTCCTGACTTTTTTTTTATTCGCCCCCACACAAACTCAAGCCCGAAACAATCACACACCTATCCAAGGGCAAGCAAGGGGGATGAAAACACAATAGTGAATTCGGCATCACGTTCACATCTGTTAAAGCGAAAATGAGACCGCTTCATGTGAAAGTCCCTCGTTCGACCCGAGGTTAGGTCATGGCCATTTATTCCAGGACTTTTTCTCTCTTTTCGCTGCAACAAAAATAACCTCACTTCATACCGGGTTCAAGAATATGGGAACAAGGCCTAATAGCGAAATCTGCATCGCATCCGCTCCCCATTCGTATGTGATGCTATTGTATTATGTGGAAGTCCCTCGTTCGACCCGAGGTTAGGTCATCTGGTATTGCGATCTCAACGTCTATTTTTCCGCCCCACACAAAAGCCTGAAATAAATATCGCACTAGTTTCGGTTCAACTTGAACTAGATGGTAGGACCTAATAGCGAAATCGGCACCTCATCCACCTATCCTGACCAATGTTCCCATTTCGGTGGAAGTTGTTCGAACCGAGGTTAGGCCATAAGTCTGTGGCGCCGAACATTAATATTCTTTTATTCACCCCACATAAAATCCCTGAACAATCACACATCTGTTCAAGGGTAAGTAAGGGGGGAGAAGACCTAACAGCGAAATTGGCATCGCATCCACTCCCCTCAAACGGTTCGTCGAATATGATGATGTGGAAGTCCCTGGTTCGAACCGAGGTTAGATCCTGGGATGGTCCCGTGTTTTTTTTTTTATTCACCGCACACAAAAACCTGAAATAATTTCACAGTAAGCGAGGCTCAGTATTATAGGAACAAGACCTAATAACAAATCGGTATTGCGTCCATACCCTTTGGGTCCTTCGAATATTTTGGCAATCAGTCGGCATGTCGCGGAAATTTCCAGATGCGCGTCCAAATATCTAGGCCCTTTTTACTTCAATCACCGCTGTAGACCCGGCTATATGATTGAATCCACCGTGGCTTCCTTGTTTTAAATTTTCGGTCTCTTATCTGGATGATTCTACTGAGAAACCCGGTTTCTCAGAGAAACCTCCCGCATCAGGGAACATTACCATCAAATACCGGTCATCAATCGGCGACACCGGGGAACGCTACAAGTTCGTTAGTGACTTGCAGGCACCGTTATTATTACCAGGAAAAATTGAGAGAGTTATTTAGAATAATTAATATTGGTTCTAAGTTGTAATGGGCTTCTAAAGCCCTGTTATGGCACAAATATCAGATATCTCCCGGTGTGATGGGATCAAACCAATTCAACCCAAGTTCGGCAAGGCAATTTGACTTGCTCTGAGAATTTTGGAGCTCTAAGAGCCAGCGGGGTATTCATTACACAAGAATAAAATGTTTGCCTGAGACTTATATGAGCACCAGCTCGCAGGTAAGGTCATGATACCAATTACAAGGGCTGTGATTCTCAATGAAGAAATATAGCCTTGTCAAGTCAGTAGCGCCTGTAAAAAATCCGGGCGAGCACACAAATTCATCCCCAAGCCATTAAATTCCACATTGTGGGGCATTGAAGTCCAGGACTACTCAAAAACCTAGGCCTGAGTTCAGCGGTCGCCGGCATAATGATCTCATACCCCATTTGAAGGGCTCCTCAATAGAATAATCCCTCTCATCTGAAACAATGGCCTTCAAGTGTGCTGCTTCATTGAAATCCCACAATATCCTATTCTTCATCTCGCCAATTACTGCTGTAAGTGTCAGCCCAGCCCCCAACCAATGAACAGGTTTCCTAAAAATATAGGAATGCAGTGCAGCAAGTGCTTCTCTTTACAGCCTTGCTCCGATATCTCTTCCTCCCAGACCATGCCCCTTTTCAGCAACAGTACCGGTATCCACATTAGTGGAGGGAACTTCTACGATGTTGGTGGCAACATGAACATCCGAAATAGCCAGCAGCTTCAGGTACAGGATCACCAGCATGCGGATAGTGGTGGCTCTCCAGGTATTCTTGAGGGAACGCCGACGCAACAGAGCATTGGCTGGGACGTTTCATATGGCGGTCGCACGTTTTCAGGAGCAGTGAGGAATAGCCGGCATACAAGGAGAATGTGGCCATTATCTTACGGTGCGTGTCAATTTGGATTTATGCATTTCCGCCTCTTAATTTGTCTCGCAGACGCGTCTCTTCGGTACCAGACCCAATCACAGAGCGAGTTGCAACTGGAATATGACCAAGCCTCTTCGTCTTCGTCATTAGCCAGCGCACTAGTTACGCCGTCGTCAAGCACCTCTCCTTTCAATTATCCATCCCTGTCGCAGCCTCAGTTTTATGATCCCACGCCGACTTCTGGTAATGCGGGCTGGAGCATCCCCCGCCCATCCCGACCACTTCCACCGCATATTCATCATGACAACCAAGCAATTGAATATACCCCGCCACCCCCACCTTTCGACTTCTCCACCCATTTTGACTCGGGATCTGTCAATGGAGTCGTGAACTACGTACCTCCACGTGACTGGCGTGCAAACGAGCCGAAAACCACGATTAGCGGTGGTACATTCGTTGGAGAGCAAATATATAATGTCCACCGGAGCGGAGAAACAGGCATGTTCCGTTTTTTGAACAAAATGAATTTGAGCTGACTCCGAGGCCCGGAATCCAACAGGAATCCATATTTTACATCGCTCCGTAGTTCTCGAAGCGATGTACGATTCAGCAGACAGCTACCCTCAGCCACGATGCCATCCCGAAACACGTGTAGAAATCCTCGAGAAATTGTTCAAATGGTCCACGGAGTCCAAGTGGGCGGAAGTCGCGGTGGTCATCAGAGTCTGGCCATTATGTGGAGACGGCGCTGGAGGGCCTTTCTGTTCTCTGGCTGCATGGACCAGCCGGAGCTGGAAAGTCGGCAATTATGTGCACCCTCTCTGAACAATTGGCAGATGCTGGGCGTTTGGGAGGCACTTTATTTTTCAAGAGTGGGCATGCTACCCGTGGGAATGCTCAAACATTCTTCGCTACGCTTGCCTATCAACTCTCCCTGCGGATTGCACAGCTGAAATCAGCAATTTCACAAGTGGTGGAGGAGGATCCATCCGTGGTCGCGAGATCCATGAGTGTTCAAATACAGAAACTCATTCTTGACCCATTCCGCTCACTTGATAATCTGGAACCGCCCGTCATCATCATCGACGGCTTGGATGAATGCGAAGGCCACCAGGTGCAGCAAGACATTTTGCATCTCATCACGCAGTCCATCAGTGTGGATGCCCCTCCTCTTAAATTTCTCATTGCCAGCCGACCGGAACACCATATCTGCGAGATCTTCGACGATCCCTTTTTCGAGAACCTCTATGACTCGTTTGATGTGACGCAGTCGTTCAAGGATGTCAAAAAATATTTATGCGACGAATTTACGCGGATCCATCGAGAACACCGTGAAACCATGGGTTCTGTTGCAGGCCCATGGCCATCCCAGAAGGTCGTAGATGAACTCGTCCATAAATCCTCCGGGTACTTTATATACGCAACAACGATCATCAAGTTTGTTGATGATCGGAATTTTCGCCCCACAGAGCGGCTGGAATTACTCGAGCAGAAATCACATTCGGAATCACCTTTTGGTGCCCTGGATCAACTGTACACTCAAATTCTTTCGATAGTCCCAGTCCATTGGCCGCTTATTCCAATCCTGCAGGCCCTAGATTTCTGCAATTTCAGATTAACTCCTACTGGGGCTGAACAACTTCTTGAGCTCAATCCTGGGGATGTTCGTCTGGCTCTACGAAATCTCCATTGTCTTTTTAAGGTTCCCGAGATTGAAGACGACGTCTGGCATATCGAAATTAGCGTGTACCATGCTTCGTTGCAAGAGTTCCTCAACAATTCAACACGAGCAGGCGTGTTCTACGTCGGTGACCCAGAACACCGAGTGGATATGGCTCGCCGTGTTCTTAAAGCACTTTCTTACAAGTGTGACAATACATCAATCAACCGTGCTCCCCCAGTTGCATTGTAAGTTCACCTGGTGACGGGTGCACCCCATTGACATAGTAATTCTATCCACAGATCATTGGGCGCGAATGTGCTGGAGAAAATTCCACCCATGGCCGAATTTATACCCCTAATTCGAAGCATAAACCCCGACTTCATTTTCTACCGGGACAAGCACGCAGGACAAATTCTCTCGGTGTTGAAGGTCAGTTTCTTGCCTGGCCGATTCGATTCTCACCAGTGTTTAGAACATTGAGAATCCACCAGCGGATCTAATCGAATTGTGGGATGACTACCACTACATGTCCAACTTGGACATCACTCTACAATATTCCGCGCCTTCTGATGATGCTCTCCTCTCAGCTCAAGACTGTGAGCCATTGTTCCAAAGCCCAATACTTCGCTGTTTATTCCAGGCAAATTTGTTGTCGTATGAGAGGGCTTTTGGTTTTCTGGACCATAATTTGCTCCTGGATGTCTCGTGGGATGACCTCAGGGCCGCCATAGCCAGCCTACGGCCTGTAATTGGGGAAGATAAGGCAAAAATGCAAGCACTATCCAGCTTTGTCGCAGAATACCTCTCACCAGAGCCCACCCTCGCCGCTCTGGTATTACAACTGGCACATGGGTCCGTGCGGCTATTGAAAGACATGGCGACTAGTCAGAAACCTTTATACTACCAGTAGGTGATATTTATGCAAGGTGCTAGAAGCCTCACATTTGTGCCAGGGAAACATTGGCCCAGTGGGGCTATTTCGTCAGGTCTTCCACACATTCACTTGAACTCCTTCAAGACATTCGTGAATTCCCTTCTTTCGAAACCTTCAGTGACCTCGATATATTTGGAAAGGGACCGGAAAACTACCACAGTATCCTACAATGGCTGAAGGTTGCTGTTTACTGTGAAACTCTCTGCGGGGATACTGATTGATCTGTTCAGACTTTCCCAGACCCTCCAATGGACTCGAGTTTCACAAGCGCGCAGAGGCTTTGGAAATACGATCATGGGATGGGTTGGGTAAAAATCTGGGTAACGCACACATGTCGTAAAACTGTTTGCTCATCAATTATGCTTCAGGCTAATATCAAGGTCGACATAACAGTTTGCCTGTTGTAAATCCAGAAAGCATCCCAAGAAATGGGGCCAGTAAAAAAACACATTTTCGCCAGAAACGGTTCCGGCGGTAAATGCGGGCCGTGGCCCGATTGATGCCATAATCACTCCATATAGAAGTGCATCGCATTTACCACCCTGTCTAGCGCCACGACCTGCTGAAGAACAGTTACAGGTAGGCGCTCACTTAGTTGCCCTACTGAGCTCTAAGCTCTTTCCAGGACCTCCAATACTCATGACCGACCCTAGTCATCTTGACTCTCTGCTCTTTG